TTGCTCATATGATATGATCATGTAAAAATTTTTGCCTTTATAAAATGACATCATCATTCACGACAAAAAATTTCACATGCTAATATCGATATAATATGAACGATAACTTATAATTAACGAAAATCGGATTATAAAATAGTGACATAAATAAGTCCGTATCTATATTCAGCAAATCTAACGTTACTATTAATTGAGGGCGCAATCACGTACGTAACAATGTAAACAACTCTATAAGGAACTTTTTTTAACGAATTTATTAGAATTCGGTATAGGAACGTAGTAAAAAGAACTTTTTAAAAATTTTTATTATAAGAACCGACAGTTCAGTATAGAAAATTATTTGCATACGAATATTTTTTTCTATTCGTTGTTATTCATATTTTTACATGAAATAAAAGTGGCCTCATATGTTGAAATAAAAGAAACACGATAAACAAACGATTACAACTCACAATATAGTGAAGTTTTCAGGCTGATAAAAAACCTTTACTGAAACTTATAATGAGAGAATACTACACTTTACATCCGTTTGAACTTTAAAAATTCGTAATTCAAAATTCTTCGTTATATCAAGTATTCATTATTATAAAAATGAGCAGTGTTTGGGCAGACTAGTTCCTTTTGTTATTTAACTCGTGAGTGTATTTTAAAAACTCCACAAACTTTTATAACTTCCTTCGAATTATTTGTTTGTGTTAATTTGGTTCATGAATGCAGGTTCGTTTATATATCCATTACAGTCAAAGCTTGCTATAACGAACTCTGCAATGAATCCTGAACATAACGAACGTGAAATTTTAAATTTATATTGGTTGAGTTTGGAAATTGTAGGCTTTGTATATTCGATAATTCAATGTTGTTTATACAAGACAATTCAAGTTTTAAAATTCATTTTAAATCTGTCCGCGGTTATTATTTAGTAACAAGAATTAATGTAGTATGGTATATTTAATATGTCCCTGTTTAAACAAGTAGCTATTATTATCGGTATTGACACTTTATTGTTCTAATGTAAAATTATGCTAATTGATCTATTGTTATATTATTCTATTGAATATCATCCTTATAATTTTAAATTTATATAAACTAATTATGAAGTGATGTTTATACTTTATAATATATTTCTTGCTATTATTCAAAACCTTTTATATCACCGCTATCAATATCTATTCTTATCTTTTTAGAATCAATGTTCATTTCTATTTTTTCAGTAGTATCAGTATCCATTTTTCTCTTTTTAGAATCAATATCCATTTTTATATTTTCCGTAGTGTCACTTACTTCCATTTCTATATCTTCAACATCAATATTATTATCTGATATAACACATTCATGTAATTGTTGATTGATATAACTAACGCTAATAAGTTTACTATTATAAATAGAATTATTATCATCACTAACGTTAAAGTCATTTTCTTCTATTACCATTTCTTGATCAGATTTTCTAAATTCTGATAAAATTTTCGAATCATTCTTCCATTTTGTAATAATTTCATAAATTTCTAATGCTGATGGGCGTTTATCTGGATTCTTATCCCAGCATTTCATTAATAGTTCTGCATAACATGTTGCTGTACCTTTAAGAATATGAGGTCTTAATCCACTACAAATTTCTATAGCAAAGCTTTGATCATTACCTTCATATTTAGAAAAGGCGATATTTCCTGAAGAAATTTCCCATAAAATTATTCCAAAAGAATAAATGTCTGATGCTTTGGTAAACGGTTTTCCTCGTAAAATTTCAGGTGCAATATAAGGTAAAGCTCCATAAATTCCATTATATTCTGTGTCCAATGTTTTATCTATTGCCGTTGCAAATCCTAAATCTCCAATATACGCATTATGGAAATCGTCTTGGAATATGTTTCCACTATGTAAATCTCGATGAATAATATCATGCGAGTGAATTAACTGAAGATCAGATGCAATATAAGATATCAGTTCTAACTTTTTCGTCCATTCCATTTGTGCAATATCATAAAGGTTCTCACGTAGAGATCCCATGTACGCATATTGCATGACTAAAATATAATCTCCTGTACCTTCATCCCTTGATACCCCACGACATTGCAAAAATGTTGGATTTTTAGATCCAATCCTGGAATATGCATTTAACTTTAAAAATATTTATTAATTGAACTATTAGTTAACTTTATAATTTAATGAAACATTAAACTACCAAATATCTACCTCTTTTATTAGTTCCCGACAGCTATCATTTTTCCCATGAAATAATTTAAGTGCAACAGTTTCGTTTACAATACAGCCTGTATCAGCATGTGTCCATGTAGCGCAATAAACTGTTGCAAATCCACCCTTCCCAATTTCTTCTGTAAAATTAAATTCATTAAATGGAATCCATGATATTAAATTATTTTCTAATAATAATTTTTTTAGAAAATCGTCAATATCAAGATTTTCACAGCTAGTTGCTTTTTGTGAGTTGATTCTGGCTTTTCGTAGCCATTCAATAGCTTTTTCCTGATTATGCGATGTTCCGATACCGTTCCGATAACATAACCCAAGCTCATATTGTCCACGAGGATCACCACCTTCAGCAGACTTTAAAAGCCATTCAAACGCCTTTTTTTCATCTTTTATAGTATTCAGATAATATATTGCAAGATTATATTGTCCAACCGAACTACCACCTTCAGCAGATTTCAAATACCATTCAAATGCCTTTTTTTCATCCTTGGTTGTGCCTATGCCATTTCGGTAGCAATATCCAAGGTTATCTTGTCCATTCGAATTACCACCTTCAGCAGATTTCAAATACCATTCAAATGCCTTTTTTTCATCCTTGGTTGTGCCTATGCCATTTTGATAGCACCATCCAAGGTTATTTTGGGCAGATGGGTCTCCACTTTCAGCAAATTCCAAATAAAATTCAAATTCGTCATTTTCATCCATGGAAATATTTGGATCCAAATGTACTACCTAATTATATTATGAACTTATTGGAAAACTTAGTTTCTATGCCAATAACTAAATTTAAAGTATTAGTAGGTACGTACGTACGTACATATATATTTGCCCGTAACTCGGTGATCTTTACCATGTTTTGATGCTGTGCTTTACCATGTTTTGATGCTGTGCTTCATCATGTTTCATACCCGTCGCACTCAGTCACATGACACCACAGAAATTTACGTACTGTACGTACGTACGTACGTACGTACTTAAATTAAGTTTTTCTCTAATATGCGTAAGTGAATTTATTATTTGTGTTATTCAATGACATAAAATGTGCCAATCAGAAATATTATTCAGAATATGATAACAAGGTTAAAAGATTTATTTAAGAAGTTAGAAATATGAAAATAATATGACTTTTTTAAAATAATGGGCAAGAAAGTCAGAAAGGTGCTTTACAAAAAGGTTTCGTCAATACCTTCTAAGAAATCTAATTTTAATAAAACCAAATCATTATTTACTGTCCAGTTTATTAAGTGTACTGTACGTTGAATTAACATGTTCATATAAGTTTTATGAGTCATAGGATAGCATGAAATATGAATCGTCATATTATTCCAATAAGTTCAGTTATGACAATGTGGGAAGACAATGTGGTGGTTTTGCTTTGAAAATCAGTTATGGGACATAGTAAATCATATGTCCTATATTCCTATATTTAATTTTCAAGACAAAGACCCATGTGATTGAAGTTAGCCCATATCTGAAGTTGCAATTTTAGATATATGAATTACATTTGTCTAAATCACTAGCTAATGTGTGCAAAAATATTTAATTTCGGGGCTAATATTAGTCTGTTAAAAAGTGCCTATATAATGTACCGTTCCGAAATTAAGCACCCCTCTTTTCATAAAATACTGATAGCTTGCATTTAAAGAGTAATAAGAAAAATATGTTTGAACCAGAGTTAAAAGTTGCATTTTAGAGAGGTCAGAATATACTAGATATCTATAAGTGCACTTTTCTTATTATTCTTTAAATGTATGTTGCTAAAAGTTTGGATCTTATAGCGTGCGTTCAAAAAAGTTTAATCATATATCTGATACGTATTTCATCCAGATTATTTGAATATTCATTTTATTTACATTAATTTCATTAATATTTATTCATTCACATTAATTTTATTCACTCACATTAATTATGTCACAATATTTCACATTAATCGAATATTCATTAATTCACATTAATTTATGAGGATTGCTAATTCGTAAGTTCGTGAATATTTTGCAAAAATTAAATAAACAAGGCATTTAAGTATCAAAATATTTGAAATAAGTTAAATAAGTCCTGATTATCCGGCAGCTTCTATGATCGTATCAACAGAATAAGTATATAATATTGATCATGCATCGATATTTATTAACGCATGACTCAATATTTGTGTTATCCGGCAATTCATGATCATGATTCTCAAGTCGTGATTTGCTAACTGAGTTTTAATTCGAATAAACATGATTACGACATAACATCCCAAAAAATAACAAAAAGAAATAAATCTATGATTATAAGTGTTTGCCGGATAACTTTATATTATTTACTTACATTTCATTTAATTTGCATTAACAATATGAATTTTAGTATGCATCAAATTAAAATCTGTGTTGGATTAAAATCATTATAAGTCTTCTAATGCCTTACATAGATATTCTAATGCCTTAAATAGATATTCTAATAAAAATCCGTATTTAATCTGATGATGACATGTATAAGCAAAATTGAATATTTATAAATTGAGACATTTGAAATAGATCATTAATATTTACTTCAAGTAATTTTTCTCATTAACTTTATTCGGATTAACTGACTCCACTTGTGAATAAAGTCACAAGGTGGGACATTATTGTGAGTCACTAGACCTTCCTGCATAATGATATTTTGTGATCTGAGATAGTATTTGAGTAATTTGATGATCTTTTTTGTTCATAGTTCTTGATTTTTTCTGCTCTACATTATGTCCAGCTAAGTTGCAAGAACAACCCAGTAGTTTTAGTTGTTAGTAGTTCATCTTACTTTAAAACTTGATGGAAGAAACCCAAGTCATGCCTATTGGTAATGATAATGATGATATTACCGCTTAAGGTGAATCTGACACAATGGTAGACTGGAATTGCCTGCGAATAAGTGATTTGAAATTAATGTGTTTAAGATATAACATCGCTTCGGAAGGAATGAAGGCGGATATTATAAACCGCTTAGAAACTTTCTGGAAGAAATCAAATGAAAGAGATAGTGAACTATTAAGAGTAGAAAAAGAGAAATTGGTGAGATAAACTCTGGAACCTATGAAGAAGGAGAAGGCGTCCTCTTGTCAGAGGATAATGAAATGCAAAAACAGGCCATTCTGACTTACATAGAGAAGAGGTTAAAAAGGAAAATTGATAAAAAATTAGAAAACTCGCTACTGAAAGTGTTGGATAAAAACTTGCAACAATGGTCAAAGGTAAATACTATTGAAAGCTTTCCCAAAAAGACTTTTAAAAATTATAAGACCAGTATAAGTACAATACAATTTCTGGTACAGGTAATCTGCTCTAACAAGCATCCATGAAGACTCAAGAGAGAAAGCAGAGAAAGCACAGAAATTATTAAGATTGAGAGCTTTTGTCTTAAGAGTTGTCAAAGATGAGGGCTAGAACGTAGCTGCAAAGATCCTAAAACTGACTTCAGTGAAAGTGATGAGTTCCAGAACCTTCTCACAGAGGCAAAGAAGCAAGCAAGACTGTCTAAGAAAGGATCAGCAAATAGGAGAAGCTGGGAAAATAGAAGATATAATCTGCTAGAAATAGGTTCAAGACAAAGTTATTACTTACCTTACCTGCCACTCCAATTTTATGCACAGTACCCACTCCAACCTTACACCCAGTACTCACTTGCAGCACAAGGATATCAAGGCCAAAATGTGTTTTTAAACCTATGTTCAGTTTTCCAGAATTCCTTTATAAAAGGCTCAAGTAAACAGATCATGTATTACTACTGTGGTGGAACTGATTATACAGCATTTGTGTGTGCCTCCAGGATTGCTAAAGGAAGTTCAATGAATAGTTTTTTTCGGAACAAAAACAATGAAGGAAGAGGGTAACTACATCTGCGAAAAAAAGACCCCAAATAAAAAAAGTGAGTTGTAGAAAAGGAGGAGTTAGGTCAGAACAGGGAGGTATTTGAGAAAATTCACAAACCTCAGCAGTGAAGTACTGGTTAGAGAAAATAAACCCTCCGCCTGTAATAGCAAGTTGTTTCTAAAAAATGTATGGAGCCTTGTCAAAAGCAAGATTCTAAAACCTTAACACTTGACATTAGACCAAAGAATATGGCTGAAAGATGAAATTGAACGACTAGAGAAGTTGAGAGTAATAAGGAAGGTGGTCACAATACCTTTTTGCCCGAATACTTTGCTGGAGGTTTTGCCAGTGTTTCTGGTACCAAAATTAGAACCAAAACATTTCTGACTTGTAATAGACCTAAGAAGGTTGAACAAACTATTACCAGAGAAGCCATTCTGGTTCAAAGGCCTTGGGGACTGCTAAGATCAATAGGAAAGGATTTGTCAGTAATTACTCTAGACCTAAGAGATGGTTATTACCACATCCTAATGAATGAAGAAGCATGCTGTTTTTTGGGGTTCTGCATTAAAAACTTATAGTATCAGTATTGGGTCTTGCCATTTAGCCTCTCTCAGGCAGTTTGGGTGTTCTCAAAGATTGTAAGGACACTAATTGTCCACTGGAGGTCAAAAGGTATAGCTTCAGATTTTCACGTGGATGATATATGGATTTCTTATTCTTCAGCTAAGTATTCAAGAGAATTCATAATGAAGTGGTTGTACCAGATCTGATAAACTGTGGGTTTGTGTTAGCCTGAAACAAAAGCAACCCGGTGCTGTCAAAAAGGATAAAATTCTATGGATTAACTGTAAATACGGAAAAGACGCAAGTAATTGTAATAGAACAAAAGTTAGAAGATACAAAGGCTTGTTTGAGGACACTTCTGAATCAAAACTGGGTAACAATCAGACACTTAGCAAGAGTTATGAAAAAGATTCAAAGCCTGGCAAGGGCCTTTGCTCCAACTCAAGTGAAATGTCTTAAGTTTTATTTTCTTATAGATATGACAAACTGACAAATTAGGAATAGTACAAAAAATTGGGTTATCAGACCAGGCCAAGTCAGATTTAAATTAATTGGTCAAAAATCTAGAAAGATACAACTGCCGTTCAAGTTGGCAACTATTCCTAATAAGATTATTGTTCATAGATGCCTCAACAACCAGTTGGTGTGCAAAGTTAAATAAGTTGATGGCATTCAGAAACTGGTAGAAAAAACAAAGCAGCTGGGAAATCGCAAAATTAGAAGCTGAAGCAGTCTTGCTAGGACTTCAGAGTTTTGCAAACCTTTTACAAGTCTCTTGGGTCATGATATTCATAAACAGTCATATGGCTCTTGCGATGATGAGGTTGAGTGGCCAACGGGTATGACAAAAGGAAGCCTACAGGAACTTGTAGCAGATTTGTTTGAAAAAAGACATTTGGATTTATGAATTGTGATGGGTGCTATTAGCGGAGAATCCAGCAGATTTTTGAATCCAAATTTATTCTCATCAGATTGGTATATTTAGAAAAAGATCTTCAACTGATAGATGCAATGTTCAAACCTTACTCATTAGACTGGATGGCCTCCCATATGAATACAAGGTTAAGAAGGTTTAACAGTTACCATTTTTGTCTGGAGTCAGAGGTGGTAAACTGCTTCATCCAGAAATAGAAGAATTAAGTAAATTATGTTTGTTCTCCTCTGCATTTAATACAAAAGGCCCTTTACTATATAAAAAGCTGCAAAGCAAATACAATGATAGTAGTTCTGCAATGGACATTAACAAAGTGGTAGCTACTACTTTTGGAACTAAATTGGACTGCACTTGTGCTGCCAGAACCAAGGATCACTTTCGCACCAGGTCTATCAGGGTTTGTAGAACTTTGGAGAAACCAAAAATGAAAATTTTTGGCTATACATATTCATCTGTAGAAAAACTATCAGAAGAAGCCAGAATATTAGCAAAAAATTTAGTATCACCCTTTTACAGAGCTAGATTAGACAAATACTGAAACCTTTATGAAGATTTGACCTAGAATCTAATAACCTACTAGAGGATGGAATCCTGACATTTATTATGTGGTTAGACATGTCAGATCTTGCATCACAAGTTGCTCGGGCTCTTCAAGCAGTAGTAAATAAACTATGTCTAAAAGAAAAAAAGAACTTTAGAGAATCACTAGTTATAACACAAGTCCTAAAAGTGATAAAAAAAGAAGTGACAAAGAATAAGATACCAGATTGGCTATGTAATCTGTTACTAGTAGAGGCCCTAAAGTATTATATTGACATACTACCAATGTGGCCAAATAAAATAATATATAGGAGAGACCTAATGTTGATAGCTTTAGGGCTGAGAACAATGAGAAGATCTAGGGAGCTAAGAGACCTAAGTTTGAAGGATATAAGATGAGACAATGAAGAGGCTTGTGGATCAGAATCCGTAAGTCAAAGATGGACCAGTTCAAGAATAGCTAATTCATTCCAGTCAAAAGTACAAAATCAAGGTATTGCCTGGTGAAACTTTTAGAGCAATATTTGGAGGTCCGCCTTAAGACTGGTATGGATGGCCCTTTATTTTTATCAAAACAAGGAAAAAAAGTATCAGTTGGCAATTGGCTTAGTTGTAAAGCGATTTGCTGATCATGCAAATCTAACTGGCAGATTCACAGCACACTCACTAAGGATGGGAGGCCACAGCTGCAATAACGGTTAGTATAAGTTTTTACAAATTTGGGTCATTGGTAGCTAGGATTCTAAGGTGGTTATACTTTATTTGAGGACGGTCTCCACTACAAAAGCTGAAACCTCTGATCAAATGGGTTTTAAATAAATAAATAAATAAATAAAAAAAAAAAAAAAAAAAAAAAAAAAAAAAAAAAAAAAAAAAAAAAAAAAAAAAAAAAAAAAAAAAAAAAAAAAAAGAAAAAAAAGGAAAAGAAAAAATAAATAAAAAAGAAATAAGTAGATAGGGGGTACCAAATATACCTGACCCAGATAGCAAATGAAATAAAGATTTTAAATAATGCCATAACTATTTTTTTTTTTGAGTTTGCTTTGTTGTTTGTTGTTTGTCTTTTTTTGCTAAATAATTCTCGTCAACAGTCCTATACTGTACTACAGAGTGTAGACATAGTTGTATTGTTGGCCATGGAAGTTGTTTCTTCTGAAAGAAAGGATAGGTTCCATGATAAACAATAATTAAAAATATCAATTCCATTAATTCATCTGCATTATCAGATTTTTATAAATATTACAATTTAATTTCTGTGTAATTATTAATAATAGCTCTATTGTTGAGCCAAATATAAAGATTAGTCACCACATTCAGATAGCATCCCACCAAAATCAAAAACAAGATTCAAAAGATGAACAAACCCTATGACATACTCAGAAATTTGAATGGAAATGTATGATGACACAGCAAAGGTATTAATAATCAAATATACAGCAATTATAAATTAACAACAAAATCTATCCAGTATGAACAAAAAACTCTTTTCGTCAATCACTTACACAAAACTTAACTAAAAATTCGCCAGTCAAAAATTGTTAATAACACAATATTTTATTAAGATAACTGCCTTTAGCATCATAAGTAAAATTGCTCAGCTCAAAATTTTACATATAATCTGAAAGTTTTAAGTCTCTATCTTAAAAACTCATAGCATAACGCTACAAAAACTACTTTTGGTTTTAAAATCTAAACTTTTAAATATTTATTTAGAACTGCCTTTACAACCTATCCTGTGGTCCTAAGATAAATTGTTAAGCTCACTCATCTGGTCAAAACAAGACCTTAATGAAGATTTTTGACCTAATATTAACCAAATTACGGATAAAAAACTCTCTTGCTCTCTTGTAAAAACTCTTAAAAAATTCTTTGTCTTTACCCCCAACTTTTTTTCCTTCAACCCGTTTTTCGTGTAATGTAGATCATCCCCAAATTTAGATTCATTTAAATTTTCTATTATAACAATCAAATTACTTAAAATAGCAATCCAATTATTAATACAAAACTATTTTTATAACCGTTACCTATTTCTATTTTTATACTATCCTTGTATACCAGTACACAGTTTAATGTTACGTGTAACTCTTTGGTTATGCCAGCCGCACCAGCCGCACACTTGTATCACCCTAGACCAATTTGGGTTACACAAGATTACACAAGGTTACACAAGCCACACCAGCTGCAGTAGTAGCACAACAACCCCTGCTTTGACCTACCCTTGTCAAACTCTTAATTTTATAATACTAAAAATCTTTAAAACACTATTACAAAAAATTTTATTAAGTCAACCAAAGTTTAGTCCTTAAGCAAACTTATTACCAAGATGTCTACCTTAACAAGCATAAGCCCAGATACTATTGATCTTGATTACTTCTACAAAAATTATCCAAACAGCTATGGAATCAGAATCTTCGAAGATACAGCTAATGTATCTCGTCCAATTCCTACCAACTGTATCTCTACTGAACTCAGAGAAAAAACCAAAACTACACACTTCTTCCAAGCTCCACTTATGACATCCACTGTTACCTGTATCTGTGGTAAATACCACACTCAATTCATCTCTCAAAGCAACCAAGTCTATGAAAAAGAAACAAATGTAACTGCTGTTAAGAATACTAAAAAACTCAGCAATATCGCAATCGAAATCGAACAGGCTACTCATTTCATCCCACCCTCTCCAACTGCATCTCCAACACCCAACATACATCACCACGAATGTGCTAAATGTAAACAACCTATCAGCTGCAAAGCAACTAATAATCTACATTATTTAGCAACAGATGCTATACTGTTTAATGACAAACCTTACCACAAATCGTGTACTGAAACTGAACCTACCTCACAACAAACTTCTTCTTCTTATGATGCACAACAAGGTTCCTCTACTAGTAAAGATACATTTATCCAAAAACTACAACAATCATTAAATGAATATAGACCTAATAACCCGCTGTCTTCTGGACTCGGTCCTCTCACCTCAACTGAACAAGAATATAACACTAATGACAATATGGAGATTAATAACAACTCTACATCTAATAATGCAGACACTTCACAAAAACAACATCAAAACATTAATATCAACACACAACAACAACAACCTTATCTACAACAACCAGAACAACAATCTGAAAAAACTACAGAAACTCAACAAAATACCAATACCTCTTCTAACCTCAATCAACAAAATACTAGCACTTCTAATAATCCACCTCATAATACTAGAAACAACACAACATTTGACTGGCTTGCTAACTTCCCAGTCTCTGAAGAAATAGAACAACATACACAACTACAAACTGAAATCGCCAGGAAAATATTTAATCACCTTAAGACACATCTCTTTGATTTCTATCCAGATAAAGAAATCCGTGCAGCAACCTCCACCCGGAAAGCTCTTAAAGCTAGTTTCTATTATATTATCCATAAGATAGCTGGAGAAAGACCACAATTTCTCATAGAATTTATTCAACAACAAAATCCTAACACTGACAAAGCTCTTACAATCCCATTTGATATTCTAGAAGAAACCTTCAAAAAACTTACTCTCGCTTTCACCACAGTCCTTTTTACCAAATTAAATTATTCAAAAATCTTTTCATCCTCTGCAACAATACCTCTTTATAAGAACTAAAACAGATTACAATTCTGTATTAACCTAGCTCGTCTGCACCTATATCTATCAAACAACTATCAATCAATTAACTACATTAAATTTGCTGAGGATTTTAAATTTAGGCCAAAAAGATTTAGAATATCATCTGTCATAACCAGTTATGACAAAGACGGAAAATACCTTCAGATTAAATCTGATACCAAATTTAACATCTACCTTAAATTTAATATTTTCAAAAACCTCCTTGAGGAAAAATATAATATTCCATCTTTAAAAAACTCACTTGAACATTTCAATAACTGGTTTGAACACTTCTTCCCACAATACAGTTGCCAATTCGAACAGCTCATTGACAAAACCAAGGTCTATAACTCGCTGTGATATCAATTCTGCCAATGCTTTATTCAACATCTCAAAGAACTTCTACCTATAACTTTAGATTTTCATAAACCTAACAGCTCCATCCAACGCCGTAATGAAACTATTAAACATGCAAACCATCATATCTTCACATGTAAAGATACCTCCTGCCCTTTTGCTAAGACTATCAACAACAAGGATAAGGCCAAAGAAACAGATAGCAATAATCAAAACCCCCCAAAACCTCAATACAGACACAATTATAACCAACTATTCAAAGCTCTCCTTGAAAGATCCTATATAACCTACCCCAAACAAGAGAATGAAGACCTTATATTTGATCCATCAATCTTCTACATTGATGATAAACACGAAAAACTTTTACTAAACAAATTCCAACCAAACTACTTGACAAGTTAGCTACTTTAGCTGAAGAAGCTGCTTGTTCACCAAATATGCCAAAATCAATTAATCACAAACTTCACAGTTATTACTTTTATCTATATCTCTCTGTATATCAGAAAATTGCAGTACAGAATCACAACATAGTACAACTTAACCGACAGCAAGCTATTGACGCTCTTACTCTTAAACCTATCAGCACTAAATTTCTAGCTAGAGTTATAACTTATTATGATTCTAAAGACAAAAAACTAAACTATTCACAAATAGCACAACACTTTAGAGAAACAGCTTACCCAGAAGCTGAACAACTTCTCACTAAAAAATTCAATATGCACTATACCACACCACCTACTATTGAGGAAACTTTATTCTTCAATGAATCCCAATTTTCTTTTCAATAAAGTTGTCTTTTACAAAACACATGAATGCAGCCGTTGCTTTACCAAAAGATACACCCATAGTAGTTAGTAAAGAGAATGATGTAAGTAGGCAGGCAAGAAAGCCTATTTACCTAGATTCCTGGGTTTATGACAGTCAGACTCAATGTACAGAGCAGACTACAGGAAATCTGGAAACCGTGAGAGCCAGGTATATGGTGAACGACCTTGTAAAAG